CAGTGATGTCAGGGGGTGTGGCATACGCAAATAAGTTATGCTAATGAGCTCCTGCACCTCTTTTTCTACGAAATGACCCCTGGGGGTTGCCATAAGTCAGCTGCGACTTGATGGTACTTTCTACCACCCCGACCCTTTTAGTGGAGAGATCGAGCCAGGGATCTGTGGCATGCAAAGCAAATGCTCTACCACTGAACCACATCTCTTCCAAAATGTCCGGGAAGTAGAAGTCGAGGACACAGAATGGAAGGGGGGGGGTGTCACCTTCCTCCTCTGCTGTTTGTGAGTGAGGCATCTATCTAGTTGCTGGAAGGAATACAAGATAGAAAGCAGTGGCACAGCAGTATATGTAAACAAGAAAAAAAAATGCACGTGCAGACCGGAAGGTCGGTACTTCAGCAGTTCGAGACCTGAGTGCCGCATGACGAAGTGAGCTCCCGTCTCTGGCCCCAGCTCCTGCCAACCCAGCAAGAAATTGCAAGTAGATAAATAGGTACCGCTTCGGTGGGAAGGTCACAGCGTTCCGTGCGTGCGCCTCGGCATCTAGTCATGCCGGCCACATGACCATGGAAATGTCTTTGGACAGCGCTGGCTCTTCAGCTTGGAAACCGAGATGAGCACCGCAACCCTAGAGTCAGATTCAACTGGCTTTCAAGCAAGGGGAAACCTTTACCTAATATATACAATACTCAGAACAGGGCCGCAGGGCCTGTAAGTCGGAGCTCTTCCGCCAGGCTTTCAAATAGGAACCGCCGCCACCACCAACGGGGGACTGCAAAGCAGTAGCGCTGGGTTGGGCCGTTCTGGCCGTCTGAACATCATGGCCCACAGCATCCCCCTCGTTGACCCCTATGTGGTGAGCAATAGGGAGCGAGTATGGTAGTCGCGATGGATCCTTGGGAGTTGCTTACTGTGTTTTAACTGTTTTAACTGTGTTTTATTGCACTGTGTGCCTTAATTGTTTTAACTGTGGTGTTGTAAGCCGCCCTGAGCCCGCGGACAGGGCGGGCGGGATATAAATGAAATTAAATAAATAAATAACAAATTTTCCTATGACACAATTAAATAGACAGGTAGAAATTCCGAGGTAAAGTTTTTTCATAAACATCTTTGTAATAATTAAATCCGAAAAAGTCCTTGAACCTGTCTATTTAATTGTTCTGAGTATTGTATATATTACAACTATACAACCTATAAATCATTGGGAGGGGGGTTGTGGTTGAATTTGGGCACGTGCATTTTTTTCTTGTTTACATAGTTGCTGTGAGGAACAGGAGGCCAGCCTAAATGGGCCATTGGGCTGTTCAAGCAGGGCTCTGCTTACATTCTTAAAAAGCAAATACATTTAATGGCAGACCAGTCCATCAAGAGCTGTCAGGTGTGATAACAAAAGGGAACCTCCGTGTTCAAAGGCAGTCTACCCAGGCCTGTAGCCAGGATTTTTTGGCTTGCGGGGCAATTTTTTCCCCCGGTGGGGCTGAAGTTCTCAGTGCAGAAAGAAAAGCCATTTAGCCGATAGGAAGCTGTTACCTGGATGGATCTCTAAATTGCAAGCTGTCGACGACTTTAGGTGACAGTTCTCAGCTGCTGCAAGTTAATAATTTCGAACAGCCTAAGCAACAATTCTGAGAACAAGCCGGCAGGGGGAGGTGATGACTTCTATAGTCAAGAAAGTTAACACTTAGGCAGAAAAACTCCCTTGAAGGAGACCAGTTTTGTGACACAGAGTGAAAAGGGGTCCCAGAGGTCACCTACTCCAACCCCCTTGGCACAGTGCACGAATTAACCAACTACAGCACCCCACTCTGCTTAAAGGAGTGCATGCCTTTAAAAAATGTTTTAAATGGTTGATAAAAGCATTTACAGGAGAAATTCTTGTGGGGCTGTGCCTTTAAGAAAGAGGGCAGAGCCCCCCAAAGCCCCACTGTCGCTACAGGCCTGCGTCTACCTCTGAACACCAAAAAATAGGGTCAAACAGCATGGGGAGAGCCGACCACTGTTGGAAAGGGAGATTTTTGCCTTGCTAGATCTGGGGGTCTGATCCACAACGCTGCTACTTCACCTTGACGCCTGTTTGCTTCCTAGGCCCGGAGGCTGTGCCGCCCCTGGGATGCGTTACAATTCCTCCAGCTTCTTTCCCGACGAGATCCTCAATTTTGTCAAGACGCATCCGCTGATGGATGAGTCAGTGCCGTCTCTGGGCAACACGCCCTGGATCGTCCGGACCATGAATCGGTAAGAGAGTGGTAAAAAATGTCGACCGTTAATCACATCCTGCACAAATGCAGCTAGGGACACGTGGCTTTTTGCAAAATGCGGTTGTCTTACCAGGTGTGGACAGCAAATGGTGACAGGCAGTGTTAGTTGTGGGGTGTTGTCTGGATACCAATCTCAGCTCTGGAATCTCTGTAACTTGGAAGAGGAGGAGGGCGGGGGAGGATATTGGATTTATACCCCGCCCTTCACTCGGAGTCTCAGAGCGACTTACAGGCTGATTTCGCACTAGAGCTGCCTCGCTGTTGCGCCGCCGTTTGCCCCGGTTCTATTGGTCAGTTTCATACCCGAAGCCGCGCGGCTGATTTTGACCTGCGGCTTCGCCTGATTTCCTCCGCAGTTTCATTGATCCTCAAAAAAACAGGATCACGAAACTGCGGGGGAAATCGGGCAAAGCCGCTGGTCAAAATCAGCCGCGCAGCTTCGGGTGTGAAATTGACCAATAGAACCGGGGCAAATGGTGGTGCAACAGCGAGGCAGCTCTAGTGCGAAATCAGCCATAGACACAGCCCAGTGCGTGGCACAATAAAACCTCTTTCATTTTTTTAGTACCTTCAGATGTGCTACAACTGTCCACACAGATCTTTGTGAAGGTCTGCTGCTAGCAAAATGCTG